CATGCTGTTGCAAATGGTAAAAGTTCCTTCTTTTTTACAGCAGCATAGTATTCCATTGTATAGATGTGCCACAGTTTTTTAATCTGCTCATCAGCTGATGGGCACTTAGGCTGTTTCCAGATCTTAGCTATGGTGAATTGTGCTGCTATGAACATATGGGTGCATATATCCTTTCTGATTGGTGTTTCTGATTTCTTGGGATATATTCCTAGAAGTAGGATCACTGGGTCAAATGGGAGTTCCATTTTTAACTTTTTGAGGAAACTCCATACTGTTTTCCACAGTGGCTGCACCAGTCTGTGTTCCCACCAGCAGTGCACGAGGGTTCCTTTTTCTCCACATCCTTGCCAGCCTGATGGATTTATTTTTTAATTGTGGTAAAGTAACAGCACGTAAAATGTATTGTATTAAGCATTTCTAAGTGTGCAGCCCAGGGATATTAGCATGCTTACATTGTTGCAACCATCATTAACATCCATCTCCAGAATCCTTTTCATGTGACAAAACTGAAACTTTAATCATTAAACAGTAACTCTTCATTCCTCCCTCCCTCGGCCCCTGCTAACCATCGTTTCACTTTCTGTCTCTATGAACTGACCTATTCTTGGTACTTCATATAATTGGAATTATGCAGTATTGTCCTTTAATGTCCGGCATATTTCACTTAGTATAATGTATTCAAGGTTCATCCAGGTGTTAGAATTTCCTTCGTTTCAAAAGGCTGAGTAATATTCCATTGTATGGCTATACCACTTTTGTTTATCCATTCACCCATCAACGGACATTTGTATTGTCGACACCTCCTGGCTACCGTGCATAGCGTTGCTATCAGCATGGTGTGCAGATCGCTGTTTGAGTCCCTGCTCGGTCCTTTTGGTATATCCCGATCCTCATGGATGGGTTGCAGGTAGACGCAGGGTCACTTCCTGCTCTCACTGGCCGTGGGGTTTGCTGAGACGAGACCTGGTGAGTACCCAGGTGATGAGGGTTGAACACTAATCCCTTTTGGAGAAGCACTTGGCCAGAGGAGGTTCCTGTAGCCCCACAGGTGAAAACAAAAGTGCTCATGATTCAATATATAGAACATGTGGGATTTAAAAGAATGTCACTATTTTAAACTGATATCCCACTGTTTTCTAAAAGTTAAAAAAATTGAATGTTCTATGCCAATTTCACCCTGCCCAACTCTGTGTTAATACTCCTTTAATTTTAAATGATAGCCTTGCTAGAGTAATGTTGAGCGTAGGTCCTTGCTTTTTACCACTTTGAACATGTTTCTGTTGAGGAATCAGCTGACAGTCTTGAGGGAGCTCCCTTGTGGGTAACTAACTGCTTTATTTTCTTGCTGTTTTGTTGTCTGTTTCTTTTGCTGTGCAGAGGCTTTTTAGTTTGAAATAGTCCCATTCATTTATTTTGCCTTTACTTCCCTTGCCTTGGGGGTCCAGTTCATAAAATGTTCTCTACTACCAAGATCCATAAGTTTGGTTCCTGTATTTTCTTCTATGTAACTTATTGTTTCAGGTCTTATATTTAGGTCTTTGATCCATTCTGAATTAATTGTTGTACATGGGGACAAACTGTAATACAATTTCATTCGTTTGCATGTGGATTTCCAGTTTTCCCAGCACCATTTATTGAAGAAACTATTTTTACTCCATTGTGTGTTTCTGGCTCCTTTGTTGAAAATTATCTGTCCATGTACATGTGGTTTTATAGCTTGGTTTTCTATTCTGTTCCATTATCTGTGTGTCTGTTTTTCTGCCAATACTATGCTGTTTTGATTATCGTAGCTCTGTAGTATAATTTGAAGTCAGGTAGTGTGATACCTCCAGCTTGGTTCTTTTTTCTCAGGATTGCTTTGGCTATTTGGGGTCTTTTGTGGTTCCATACAAATCTGATGATTTCTCATTCTATTTTTTTTAAATGACATTGGGATTTTGCTGGGGGTTGCATAAAATCTGTATATTGCTTTGAGTAATATGGCCGTTTTAACTATGTGATTCTTCCAATCTATGAGCATGGGATATTTTTCCATTTTGTTGTTTCTTTTTCAATCTCTTTTAATAATGCTTTGTAATTTTTAGTATACATATAGGTCTTTTACATTCTTTGTTAAGTTTATTCCTAGGTATTATGTTCTTTGGGTTGCAATTGCAAAAGGATTGTTTTTGTTTTTTTTAATTTCATTTCTTTTTCTGAAGTTTTTTTTGTTAGTATACAGGAAAGCAATGGGTTTTTTTGCACATTGATTTTGTATCCTGCAACTTGACTGTATTTATTGTTTCTAATAGTTTTTTTTGGTGGAGTCTGTAGTGTTTTCTATATATAGCATCATGTTGTCCACAAAAAGTGACAGTTTGACTTCTTCCTTCCCTATTTGGATGCCTTTTATTTCTTTCTCTTGCCTCATTGCTCTGTCTAGGACAGTGATGGCGAACCTTTTGAGCTCGGCGTGTCAGCATTTTGAAAAACCCTAACTTAACTCTGGTGCCGTGTCACATATAGAAATTTTTTGATATTTGCAACCATAGTAAAACAAAGACTTATCTTTTTGATATTTATTTTATATATTTAAATGCCATTTAACAAAGAAAAATCAACCAAAAAATGAGTTCGTGTGTCACCTCTGACACGCGTGTCATAGGTTCGCCATCACTGGTCTAGGACTTCCAGCACTTTGCTGAATAAGAGTGGTGAGAGTGGACATCCTTGTCTTGTTCCTGATCTTAGAGGAAAAGCTTTCAGGTTTTCACCATTGAGTATATTAGCTGAGGGTTTATCATATATGGCCTTTATTATGTTGAGGTACTTTCCTTCTAGTCCCATTTTATTGAGTGTTTTAATCATAAATAGATGTTGTATCATATCAAATGCTATTTATGCATCTATTGATAAAATCATATGATTTTTATCCATTCTTTGGTTAATATGGTGTATTACATTGATTGATTTGCGTATGTTGAACCATCCTTGTGCCCCTGGAATGAACCCCACTTGATCGTGATGTATGAAACTGTGGGTGTACTGTTATATTAGATTTGCTAGTGTTTGGTTTAGGATTTTTGCATCTGTGTTCATCAGAGACATTGGTCTGTAGTTTTCTTTTTTTAATAATCTTTGCCAGGTTTTGGTATCAGGGTTATATTGGCCTCATAGAATGTGTTAGGAAGTATTACCTCTTCTTCAATTTTTTGGAAGAGTTTGAGGATAGGTTTTAAACCTTCTTTGAACATTTGGTAAAATTCACTGGTGAAGCCATCTGGTCCTGGACTTTTACTTTTGGGGAGGTATTTAGAGTTTCCAATTCTTTTTTTTAAAATATATTTTTATTGATTTCAGAGAGGAAGGGAGAGGAAGAGAGAGATAGAAACATCAATGGTGAGAGAGAATCACTGATTGGCTGCCTCCTGCACACACCCCACTGGGGACCGAGCCTGCAACCTGGGCATGTGCCCTTGACCAGAATCAAACCCAGGACCCTTCAGTCCACAGGCTGATGCTCTCTCTATCCACTGAGCCAAACCGGCTACAGCGATTTTCCAATTCTTCATGATTTAGTCTAGGAAGGTTATATATTTCCAGGAACTTATCCATTTCCTCTAGTTTATTGAATTTGGTGGCATATAGTCTTTCATAATATTCTAGTATGGTCCTTTGTGTATCTGTGATGTCTGTGATGACCTCTCCTCTCTCACTTCTGATTTTGTTTATATGGGTCTTTTCCCTTTTTTTCCTTAATGAGTCTAGCCAGGGGTTTGTCAATTTTATTAATCTTTTCAAAGAACCAGCTCTTATTAATTTTTTGTATAATCTTTTTGTTTTCTATTTCATTCAATTCTGCTCTATTTTATTATTTTCTTTTGCTGACTTTGGGTTGCTTTTGTTCTTTTTCTAGTTCTTTAAGATGCAATGTTAGGTTGTTTACTTTGGATTTCTCTTGTTTCTTGAGATAGGCCTGTAATGATATAAACTTTGGTTTTTTAAAATATATTTTTTAATAGATTTTTTGCAGAGAGGAAGGGAGAGGGATAGAGAGTTAGAAACATCGATGAGAGAGAAACATCGATCAGCTTCCTCCTGCACACCCCCCACTGGGGATGTGCCCGCAACCAAGGTACATGCCCTTGACCGGAATCGAACCTGGGACCTTTCAGTCTGCAGGCTAATGCTCTATCCACTGATTGATTCCCATGTCAAAAATCATTTTAATACTGTGGAAATATTTTTCCTAAGCAAATTGCAGTACAGATGGTCAGAATAGAAGTGTGTGCTATTGATACCTCCCCTGCCCTCAACTGAACTTGCTCAGATTTTCTTAAGGCTGTTTGGATGGGATACTTATCTCTATCTGATCAACCCAAAAGACAGCCCAGATGTGGTGATTTTATGATGTGGGAATGAGTTTTGGAACATTAAATCAAGAAATTTGTAATAAATTAAATTAACATATAGTTGATAATCTATGTGCAGAGAAACTGTATGTGGGGTTGATGCCAGAGAAATAAAAAACAAGGTTTGGACACAGTCAGTGGGGACAGCACGACTGTAGGAAAAGCTTCGGGGAAGCACAGAAGCTTTGTTCTGTCCTTCCTGCCCCATCCCAGCTCTGTGACCTGAGTCAGTCCCCGCAGCCACCACTGCTACCACTGCGAGTAGCCATGTCTGCGGATTTTGAAATGAAAGCACGTGAAAGAGACCTAGAACAGTTTGGCTTGTTCTCAGTGATTTTTTCTTGGTGCTCCCAGTACTATCTCTGTCATTGTAGGCACTTAGAAACCATTCCTTTAAAATGTTGTTCTATCCAACGCCAGTCTTTGTCAGGCAAAACTTTCTTAAAAAATATTTTTTTTTTATTTTAGAGAGAGAGAAAGAGAGAGGGAGAGAGAGATAGAAACATCTATCCGCTGCTGCCTCCTGCACGCCCCACTGGGGATTGAGCCTGCAACCCGGGCATGTGCCCTGACTGGGAATCGAACCGGGACCTTCTGGTGCATAGACAACACTCAACCTACTGAGCCACACCATCCAGGGCTGTCAGGTAAAACATTTTAAACTTTATTCATTTTTTGAATAGGTAATCAATCCACATGGTTCAAGGTGTAAAGGTACGGTGACAGGTTTTGCTCCTAACGGCTCATCACTGTCCGGCAGGAGCTGCCCAGTGTGGAGGGAGGCTCCCCTTTCCGCACCGGCGGCATAAACGGACTCGCGCTCCGCACGCGTGCTGGTTCCCCGAGCAGTGCGAGCAGTGCGTTTTGGAGGCTGACCCATGGCAACGAGCCTCTTTGTTCTGGGTGGCATCTCTGGCACTGCGCCAGCCAGCGCGTCTCAGTGGTGACTGACAGCGGTTCGTGGCCGTGTTCGCCGGGTACCCAGCGTTGTGGGTGTCCTGTCCCTGGGCCAGGAACTTTAAGCTCATTAGGTGATTTTCTTGGATTTCAGTTTCCTCTTCCCACGGTTTGATCTACCCTTTCAGGGCATAGGCCGTTCTGGGGGTAAATGCGTGAGAGAAGACAGAAACACGGGCAGAGCTGCAGGAACAGCCAGGCTGCTTTGTCCCTTCATTTTCAACACCTCAGCTGCTGTTCAGGATTAGCTTCCACACCATTTCCTGACAGGTTTCAGCGAACCTCATATTCATCCAAGTTCGTGTGTTGTTTTCAGGTTTTAAATATATATATATTATTGGTTTCAGAGAGTAAGGGAGAGGGAGAGAGAGATAGAAACATCAGTGATGAGACATAATCATTGATCGGCTGCCTCCTGCACGTCCCCCACTGGGGATTGAGCCTGCAACCTGGGCATGTGCCCTTGACCGGAATCGAACCTGGGACCCTTCAGTCTGCAGGCCAACGCTCTATCCACTGAGCCAAACCAGCGAGGGCCATTTTTTTTAGTTTTTAGACATGCCCTCACGTCTGCCTAAGCACACCGAGGACACCTGTGCCGTCACACTGCGGCTTCAGGAACCCAACCCCATCAGTGTCCATTGTTCATGGGGGTCAGATCTCCACCTTGGAGAAGCGTCCTGTGTGACCGGCAAGCGTGAGCCTCTCTGAGCGTGTTCTGTGTCTGTAAGACACTCAGCTCGGGAGTTGTAGGATGAAATGAAATGGCATATGTGAGCAACCAAGAGCAGAACCTGAAATGTAGATACTTTTATAAAATGTGGTTTTCCTCTCAAACCATCTTCCTAAACAGAATCTCCTACTTAGGAACTACATTAATTAAAACGAAAATCCACCCTGGCCAGTGTGGCTCAGCGGGGGCAGGGGAGGGCAATCGGTCAATGCTTCTAATATAGAGGTTTCTCTCTCTCTAAACATATTTAAGAAAATCTACCTGCTTTAGACGCTGGGGCATTTTATTCAGACTCCTTCAGCTTTGCTTTCCTAACATGACATGTTTGTTTGTTTTTTTTTTCTTCCAAAGTTATCACTTTGTCAACCAATTCCTTTTCTGGTCAAAAGTAAACTTTTCCTCCCTGGCTTATTTGGCTCAGTGGATGGGGTGTCGGCCCGTGGACTGAAGGGTCCCATGTTTGATTCCAGTTAAGTGCACGTACCTCGGTCGCAGGCTCGATCCCCAGCCCTGGTCAGGGTGCATGATGGAGGCAACCAATCAATGTGTCTCTGTCTCTCCCCTGCCCTTCCTCTCTCTCTCTAAAAGTCAATGGAAAAATATTCTTGGGTGAGGATTAAAAAAAAAAAAATTAAACTTTTCCTTTTGGTTCCAAGTATTAACATTAGGGCCAGGCTTTGGCATAATATATGGAAGAATGTTCTAATAGCCACAGAAGTTCAGAGAGGTGTGTTGCTGTAGGAAAGAATTTCCCACTATTGCTAGGGAAATACCCATTCTAAGCTGAACAGCTCTGCGGTACAGAGGTAGGGTGATAGGATCAGAAGAGCTTCTTAAAGTCCTTTCCGACCCTGAAGGCATTGCTGTGAAGGTCAAAGACCTTTTCTTTGACATCTTCTCTTGTCTCCTTCCATGTGGGAGCCACTATTTCAGGCCCTAGGATTACAAGGTAGACAAGGTTCCTGATTACTCTCAAACCCGCACCTCTGCCCCAACTTGCACCCTGCATTCTGGAAACACTCCAACTATTTGCTGGACATGCCTGTGGATATTCTGCATGTGCGCGCATCCATTCATTCCTTTCAAGAAGTTAGAGTGTCTGCTCTTTTCCAAGCATTTTCTAGGTGCTAGGGATGCAGCAATGAACAAAACAATGGCAGCTTCAGCTTCTGCTCCTCTGGAGTTTACATTGCTCTCTCCTTGGATTTGTCTAAATGAAACTCACCACCCTCATTGCAGGGTTGCTTACCTGCTTCCTGTAGCATCTGGACTTAGAGCCTGACCGCAGTGCCACTTTTCGTCACCCTGAAAAATTCTCCTGTCATGTTGTCAGCTTCCCTTCCTTTAATGTCTTTTTCAGCCACATCTTTTCCACGCCTTTTCATCTCCTCTGGGTTCCCCTAGCCCACCAGCATCGCATCCCTCACCTACAGCCAGCGGCTTCCTGTTGGAGGGGCGCTGCTAGTACTGCTCACTCCACTCTCTTCTGTCCTGTGAGATTGGGATCAAATTGCATCAATTAATGGGCAAAGTTAGTTAAATCAGGGAATCCTAAAAATGTAACATGTACTTTAAACACTTTATTTTCACCTAAAACATGTAAGTGTTTATTGCCGGAAACTATTTATTGTCTTCACTAGCTGAGCATAGAGGAGACCCCCAAAAGCTAGTAACCTTTGAAGCCCTAGCAAAGGTCAGGGCTGTGCACCACCCAGTTAATCTAGATAATGGTAGCTGAAGCATCATCCCCACCTTAGTTCACTTAATTCCTTAGATACTCATGTAAATCCTTACTGATTATTGTTGATTAGATATTCTGCCTATTTCTGGAAATTGTTTGCTGATGAGCTAAACTGTGTGTCATTGAAATCTCCTTACCTAAGGGCTACTCCAGATCAATAAAAGGTTGGAGCGGCCTGAGCATCAGTGGAAGTCCTTCTGGACTTGCCCACCTGGTCCCCCAATATTTCCACATTATCTTGTCTCTTTTCTCTCTCATTTGTGTGCGGCTCCTCTTTTCAGATCCCGAACCCTGATCCACGCAGAACGTGGAGGGAAACACACACGACAGTTTGTGCACCCATCTTCAGTTCCAGGGCCACGGCATTTTCTTAAAGCAGACCTGTTGCTTGGGGTTCCCTAACGTCTTTCCACGCTTGTAATACCTCTGCCATGACTTTCAGTTTTAGTTTCTCTCAACAGGAGCAAGAACTTGTGTCCTTCGGAAGAAGACCATGCAGAATCCTTTCACATGTTTACAAACATTCCCCTAATCCTTACAGTTGCTTCTTGCCTCACACATTTTTCAATGACTCGCCTTCACTGCGTCTTTTCAAAGTCTGCAGCGTGGCTTTTGAAGAAACGGTGTCTCTCTTTGTGCTCCTATTTCATTGGTTTACATAGTAATTAAGTGATGTAAATAAAATCGTTAGTACGATTAGCATAACAGGCTTGGAACAAATACACCTGACTCTTCTTGAGCAGACAACCCGAATGGTGGGAGCAGGCGCACAGATGTCCCACCAGTTGGCTCCTCCCAGGCGCTATCAGCACATCTTATTGAAGTGGGTGGTTGGTTAGTTTGGTTTTCTGTAAAGTGTTAGGTAGAGGGTGTGGAAGAGCGCAGGGTTTGTATTACCAGAGTGATTTTTCTAAATCAGTTTTCCTCGGGCCACTGCTCGGCTCACACCCCTCCGGGCCCTCACTGGGTGAGAAGCAGGCGCGAACCTCGGCCTTGCCCAGCGAGACCCCGCTGCAGCCGCTCAGGCTCCTGCTCGTGCCTGGAGCTCCCGTCCTGGGCTCCGGCGGCTTGTTCTTTGAACACACTCCGGACTCTTCCACAATCAAGCCCTTGTTCACTCTGCTGAACAAAGACAGGGCCCTGCTGCTGGGGCCTGTGTGTCCAGGATGCGCATGTCCGTGCCTGGCACCGCCCGCCCTCCGCCCCAGCCCCTCTGCCACTTGGACACTGACAGAGGCTGTTCAGCATGAAAGGGCCAGCTGGGCAGCACCTCCCTGAGCAAGCCTGTCTGGACCTCACAACAGGACGTGTTTTGTCCTTTTGGAACATCCCTTAGCGCTGCCTTCGGATTTCTTTTCCGATGCTTCCCATGCCCCGCCTGCACTGGTTCTGTTTCCTGCCCTAGAAGTTTCTTGCTTTGGGTGGAACCCAGTTTGTTGGACCTGCTGGCAGCACATTCAATAAGCCAGCACATCCTGAGCGTGGCTGATGTTTCTCTTTTCCCCTTAATCTCTTCTTCAAAGCCCTTGTCTTTCTGGCCTTGATTCCTGGCAGTGAGCTCCCCCGCCCCCCAGACTTCATTCGTACTAACTGATTTGGAATGGGGATGGGGCTCCTTTTAGTTCAGAAATAATACATGATCTTGGAGTCTTATCCATATATCTCTCTTGACTTAAGAAAAAAACCACAGCTTTATTGAAGTATAACTTATCATAAAATTCACCCATTTAAAATGTGCTATCCAATACTTCTAGTAAATTTACTGAGTTATAACTATTCACAGCTATGTTTCAGAACATTCCCATCACCCCATAAGGTGCCTCGGCCATTGTCAGCCACTGTCTGTTTCGCCGCCAGTGCCAGCACCATGAACCTGCTGCTGTCTTTCTTGATCCTCCCTTGACTTCTCTGTCGCTTTTCCAGCATTGGAGTATCTTAGCAATATACATGCTATCTGCCTGAAGAACGTTTCATGTGAGTAAGGTGCTAAACTTTGTTACCCTCTTAGTCTTTCTTCCCACATTTAAGTTTCTTTTGGTTTTCTTTGTGTGAACTTAGTCTCTGTTTAGCAAGTTGGCCTTTGGCTTATTAAGAAAGTTAAGGGCCCTGGCCGGTTTGGCTCAGTGGATAGAGTATCAGCCTGTGGACTGAAGGGTCCTGGGTTTTATTCCAGTCAAGGGTAAATGCCCGGGTTGTGGGCTCGATCCCCAGTGGGGGGCATGCAGGAGGCAGCCGGTCAATGATTCTCTCTCATCATTGATGTTTCTATCTCTCTCCCTCTGCCTTCCTCTCTGAAATCCATAAAAAAATATTTTAAAAAAAGAAAGTTGAGGTTTCCCCCCTCCTTTTGAGTAGTGTCATGTACAAAACAGATATTTAAGCCCCTCTAAGGCATGGAAAAGTACAAAGAAAGTTAAAACATGATCCAGAACACCAACTCTCAGAAACAACCAGTGTTAACTGATTGATGGTGATTATCTTTCCAAACATCTCTCTCAGCAGTGATACAGCTATAAAGACACTTATTGATGTAGGTACCAAGCCGGAGGTAGCAGCTTTGGTTGCCATAGGAATCCAAGCCAGACATGGGCATCTTTGAGAGGAAGCCTGTAGTTCTCATGAAACTTGTACTCTAGAGGAGAGACAGGAAACCAGTAAGCAAGTAAATATGTAGTATGCTAAATGGTGATAAACGCCATGGAGCTCAACAAAGCAAAGAAATGTATGTATTAAGGGTCTGGTTTACTATTTAATGTGGTGCAACAAGAGAGGCCTCTCTTAATACAATGGCATTTGACCAGAGATCCCAGAAGTGAGAGAGCATGAACCATACGGTCTATGAAATGTAGGAATGTGGGGGAAGAGCATTCTAGGCAGAAGGAACAGCTAGTGCCCAGGCCTTTAGGTGGGAGCATGCCTCACGTATTTGAGGAACAGCAAGAAGGCAACTTAGCAAAAGCAATGTGAGAGGGAGAAAGTGAGTCCACTGATGGGGGGTGAGGGCCCGTGGGGACAATTATTCAGGGCCTTGGAGGCCATTGTAAGGGCTTTGGGTTTTCCTCCCAGTGAGGCAGAAAGCCATTAGAGCTTTGTAAGTGGAGGTGTGATATGATTTGACCAGGTTTTAGAAGCATCACTCTGTTATCTGAAGAACAGACTATAGAGAGGCAGGGGCAGAGGAAGGGAGGCTGGTTAGGAGGCAGTTGCAGAAATCCTGGTAGGAGATGACCATGGCTTGGACTAGGTCAGTGGTCGGCAAACTCATTAGTCAACAGAGCCAAATATCAACAGTACAATGATTTAAATTTCTTTTGAGAGCCAAAGTTTTTAAACTTAAACTATATAGGTAGGTACATTGTTATTAAATTAATTAGGGTACTCCTAAGGCTTAGGAAGAGCCACACTCAAGGGGCCAAAGAGCCGCATGTGGCTTGCGAGCTGCAGTTTGCCGACCATGGGACTAGGTGGTAGCAGTGGAAGTGGCAAGAAGTGCTGAGATATGATGGCATTTACGATATATATTCCATTTATGGAGATGGAGAAGACTATATGAAACATCTGTGGGAGAAGAATCAAGAATTTGCTTTTGTTCCAGTTAAATTGGAGATGCCTATTAAGACATTTAAGTGGAGTGTCAAGAAGGTAGTTGGGTAAATGAATCTGGATTTCAGAAGAGAGGATTGAAGATACATAGGTGGTATTTAAAAGCTACAAGTTGGATGTGATGGCCAAGTTAGACAGAGAAGAGATGACCAAGTTGGATAGAGATGACTGAGCATTAGGACACTCCAGGGGAAGATGAGAACAGAGAATGGACCACAGTGTTCAAGTGATGCAGGAGATAGAACCAGCCATTCCACTCATGATTTTATTACATGTTTTTCACAGCAAGATTTAGTTAGTTGTGTTTTTACTGTGAGATTAACTATGAAAGCTGTTCAGGGTAATTTCCGTAAGTTAGTCATTGCTGATAGCAGCAAAACAGTTACCACTTAGGATTGGTATGCATTTTTATTAGCCGTAGTATTCATCTTGGATAATCAGCAAGCCTTTGTTAAAGCGTTTTCTTCATCTCCTCCTCCTCAAGAGTTGCTTGTACGTCCATTCACTAATTTACCCCCAAAATAGTTATGAAGCGCCTGTCCTGTGCCAACCCGAGGTTTTTTTGTTCTCACAGATCTAACTTATCACGCGCAGGGGTTTGCCTTTCAGGTGTCACTTGGCGTCAGCCTCCCGCAGTGGGGTTTTTCCAGCCTCAGCGCTGCCCCGAGGCCCGGAGTCGGTCAGCTGGGCGTCCCTCCCTCGCCTGGAGGGGACTCCGGACTCGCCGGAGAGATATGCAGATGAGGTGGGCGGGCCACGCCCGACTGGCGGTGTGGACCGAAGTGGGCGGGCAGAATGCAGATGAGGTGGGCGGGCCACGCCCGACTGGCGGTGTGGACCGAAGTGGGCGGGCAGAATGCAGATGAGGTGGGCGGGCCACGCCCGACTGGCGGTGTGGACCGAAGTGGGCGGGCAGAATGCAGATGAGGTGGGCGGGCCACGCCCGACTGGCGGTGTGGACCGAAGTGGGCGGGCAGAATGCAGATGAGGTGGGCGGGCCACGCCCGACTGGCGGTGTGGACCGAAGTGGGCGGGCAGAATGCAGATGAGGTGGGCGGGCCACGCCCGACTGGCGGTGTGGACCGAAGTGGGCGGGCAGAATGCAGATGAGGTGGGCGGGCCACGCCCGACTGGCGGTGTGGACCGAAGTGGGCGGGCAGAATGCAGATGAGGTGGGCGGGCCACGCCCGACTGGCGGTGTGGACCGAAGTGGGCGGGCAGAATGCAGATGAGGTGGGCGGGCCACGCCCGACTGGCGGTGTGGACCGAAGTGGGCGGGCAGAATGCAGATGAGGTGGGCGGGCCACGCCCGACTGGCGGTGTGGACCGAAGTGGGCGGGCAGAATGCAGATGAGGTGGGCGGGCCACGCCCGACTGGCGGTGTGGACCGAAGTGGGCGGGCAGAATGCAGATGAGGTGGGCGGGCCACGCCCGACTGGCGGTGTGGACCGAAGTGGGCCCCGGGCGAGGTCTCCTGGCCGCGTGTCGGCGGTTCTTGCAGACTTTCTAGCATTTCCACGGAAAGTAGGACTTGTCGGCGTCTCGGGCTCATTGTCCGTTTCGCAGCGCATCGTTCGCGTGTCGCCCGCTTTCTGGAGCCCGCGGGGGGCGGGGGGACCCGTCCGCAGCTCTTCCTCGGGGTCTGACCGGGGCTGCCCGAGGCGGGTTTTTCCGCGGAGCCCGTGCTTATTGCGGCGCCTCACCTCCGCTCCCCTCCCGCAGAAACTGAGCAGCGCGTGGAGTCAGCTGGGCTCTAGTCTTCGTCCTGGCCTCCAGCACAGATTTAGATGCTGAAAACCACGGGGTTGCACTTAAAAACAAAGCGGAACATTTATGTGCGGTCACATGAGACAAATGGGCTTTAATTTAGCCTAAAAAAATATTTCATGGTGGCTGATTGGGGAGAGATGGTCCACCGGGTGCTGGGTCCCGGGCTGGCAGGTGACAGGTACTGCTCCCTGTGACAGAGCCAGAAGTCGGAAACATTTTTCAAGGGGGTAACTTTTACGTTTGAATTCGAATGAGGAAATGAGGTTCTGCGAGATGGAGCAATTAGTCCAAGTCAATTCCTTGAATTGGGAACAGTTTTGTGCTGACGACCTTGGGCCTTAGCTTCAGCTGGCCCCGTCCTTGGGGCCGGGCTGGGCTGAGGCGGTGCCATCCTGGCAGTTGGGGTACACTGGACTGTACAACACGGGGGTCAGAAACTTCGCCACATGGGAATACTGAGAAGAAAAGTTTTACAGATGGGGCCACGGCATAGATTACATAGGGGTCCCTCTCTAACATGCAGCATTTATCCAAACTTCTTTGGGCAGAGTAACCAATATTTGCAAAATAATGTCTTTGTCATAACAGCCCAGTGATAAACTATTAGGTAAAGGATATGTAACATTTTATTTTATTTTTTATTTTTTTTTTATTTTTAAAAAATATATTTTATTGATTTTTTACAGAGAGGAAGGGAGAGGGATAGAAAGTTAGAAACATCGATCAGCTGCCTCCTGCACACTCCCCACTGGGGATGTGCCCGAAACCAAGGTACATGCCCTTGACCGGAATTGAACCTGGGACCCTTAAGTCCAAAGGCTGACGCTCTATCCACTGAGCCAAACCGGTTAGGGCAGGATATGTAACATTTTAAAAACACCTCTCACTAGGACCCAGCTGCCCGGGTATTGTGAGAACCCTGGCATGTTATTTCCTTTGTGTCGAACTTGTGAAGAGACTGTCCCCTGGCGAGGGCTTTTGAGAGTTCCTTGGGTGCTGTGTTCTGATTTCTAAGTGACTGTGCTTTTTAAAGCCCTCTGCGGGGAGGGACACGGGAAGGAGACTTCTATGCCAGTGACTTATTTCATTGCATCTTTCAAAGAGTGCATATCACTTCAGAATGGAAACTCCGGCGGATACGCTGCCAATAAGATTAGAAAATCATAGGAAAGACTTATTTATTTATTTATTTATTTAAATCCTCACCCGAGGATATTTTCCTATTGATTTTTAGAGAGAATGGAAGAGAGAGGGATTGACAGAGAAACAACACATCGATTGGTTGCCTTCTACAGGAGCCCCGACAAGGGCCGGGCCAGGGAGAAGCCTGCAACTGAGGTACATGCCCTTGACCGCCCTTCGGTCCGCAGGCTGACCCTCTAGCCACTGAGCCAATCCGGCTAGGGCTAGGAAAGACTTTAAATGCTGGGCTATAGTTGGCTGAAAGTGTGAGTATAATTTTAATTGGTCTCTCAATGCTGTGTGACATGCTATAGGATACATCAATGAGATCCTAGAAATGAGTTTTGTTAAAGATTAACATATCTTCAGTCTGCTGTACTGTGGGGGCTGGAATGAGGCACTTATGCTTTGGACTAGAATCAGAACAGGTGCTTCAATGGGTCATCAGAGCAAGGGACCCAAAGATTAGTGGTACAGGTAAAGGGTCAGTAGAGGGAGGCTGGATGAGGCAAGAACATCACCACGAAGGACATTCGAAGTGCGACTTAATATTTTTAAACTTTCTAATTCAGAGAAGTGTTTTGGGAATGGAGGAGACAGATTTTTCCTGTTGAATGTGTGTTAGGTATGATATTTTAGGCTGTTGAATTCTTTTATAAAATACTTTAAAAAAATGTTTATATATGGCTCCTGTCAGATTGATTTGTACACAGTATCTGTATTGTGTCAGTTTTGTTCTTTGAGACACCCTTAAACAGAATTAGGAATGAATGAGGTTGATTAGAGAGTAATACCCGAGAAAGACAAAAGAGGTGGGAAGCAAAATTAGGCCAGGAAAGCTTTAGACCAGCCGTCGCCAATTGGTGGTCCGTGAGATTGGCGACCGCTGCTTTAGACCATGATGCAGATCCAACACTTAAAGGAAAAGGGGGAGGCAGCAGGTTTGGGCTGGGAGATCCTCAGAGCAGACTGCCTGTTAGAGGAGTCCCAGGTCGGGCAGAAATGGCCAGTCCTGTCCTCTCCGCTGTGGTCAGTCACAGCTGGAGGCTGCCTGAAAAGAATGTGCCTTCAGCTCAAAGGCAAGTGGAGTCCTAGGATCCCGGTGGCACTAACTGCAGTCCCTGCAGCTGAAGGCCACATTCTTTCTTGAACAGAGATCCAAGTGGCACACCTCATGGCGGCATCCACACGACCTCAGTTGCTTGGGCAGGGGTGGTGGTGGTCTATTTAAAGGGTAAATGAGGTAAAATCCTCATCTTCAGTCTCCCCACCCTCTTTTTGCTTAAAAGAGTTGGAATTGCCCAATCTCTTCCCGGTGGGAGCGTCTCAGCCCCTCTGGCCACACCTGAGGCAGAAGGCAAGTTCCCAGCCTCGGTCTCTTTTCTAGCCCTGGTATTGGCTGTGGTAGCAGCAAGATTCCTCTTTGGTGGCGATTGCGATCCTCTGCGTTGGGTCATTGTGACTGGCTCTGTACTGTAGAATGGACAAGAGAAACGGATCAAGTGAAAGATACGAAAACTTGCATGAATGAGGGACCGTGTGGATGACACATCTTTTACTTAGAAGGTCCCAGTTAACAGTCCTTCAGCAGCCAACCAGGTTGTCAGTGTTTGCCTTGTCAGAGAGGCTGCTGGGTGCAGTTGTGCAGGTTGTGAACTGTTTAAAGGCATCTGGGAAAGGGATGAATGGGCCCAGGTGAGGCTGTAGCAATACAGAGGAAAGGGTGCCATTTTGCACATTTGCCTTTTTATATTCACATAGAGGTGTCCAGTATGCTAAAGAGGCCTTAGCAGGTGAGCTTAGAAGATTTTCCCCACTATCACTGCTAGCTTCTTCTTTTATTTTTTTCCACAACCATTGTTTGTTACAAAGGTGAACCCAGATAGGCTTATCTGTAGGATTTCTGGTAGTGAGCAGAGCCA